CAATTATTTCTTTGAGCTGTGGAAGAGAGACAGGCGTAAAACAAGTCAGTTGATTTGGAAGAACAGAGGGTACAATGAAATCATTAGTAACAGATTAAATCTGGGATCTAATTCCAGCAGTCTTATCAATGAAATTTTTTAACAACTTTTCACATGTCAACAGAAGGAGAGAGTAATGGCATAACAACAGGATGGAGTACAGTGTTTATAGTAGAAAAAAGCACTCTAGAATTATGGCAGTTCTTCGAGATAATATCAGAAAAATAATTAGATCTAGCTAATTTAACAGCTCTTTGGTATTCACTCAAACAACTCTTCAAAATCTCATAAGAAACCTGTAGTTTATCTTTAAGCCATTTACGTTCGGCCCTTCTGCACTCTTGCCTTAGAGCACGGGTATTACTGTTCAACCAGGGCTGTGTGTCTTGACCTTTTAATTCCTAATTTCCAAAGGAGCCACAAGATCTAAAATATCTGAACATGTAGAGTTGAACTGATTGACCAACTGTTCAGGTCCAATACAAGGAGAGGGAGACTCAATCAAGCTAATTAAAGGAGAAACTCCAAAGGCTGCTGAAAATTTACTAGCTGTACAAGGAGTAAGAGTACGAGAAGCAATAAAAGAAGAAACATTCAAAATCTGAGTACTACATGGGAAAGTAGGGCTAAAAAAGAGTCTTGTGGTCAGAGAAAACAGTGTCTGCAATTTTCAACCCACTAACTGAAAACCCCAAAGATAATACAAGGTCAAGAGCATGACCACGCTCATGTGTTGGACCAGAAACACACTGTAAAAGATCAAATGACTCTAATACATTTAAAAACTCACTAACCAGGAGCTTTGAAGGGCAACAAACATGTATTTTGAAATCCCCCAAAATGAAAATATTGTCAAAAGAAGGGACAATAACAGATAAAAATTCAGAAAACTCCTGAATAAAATTCCCATGAATGTTTGGGGGTCTATAAATCAAAATGCATAACACAGATTCAACATAATTATCTGAGTTTCAAACGTACAATGAGACTCAGAAGGTAATTTTGAACATTTGAACCTGTCTTTAAAAATAACAGCAAGACCACCACCCCGGCCAACAGACCTGGGTGTACTAAAAAAACTACAACCAGGAGGAGAAAGTTCAGAGAGAGAACCGACGTTGAGCCAAGTCTCAGTTACAAATAAGAAGTCTAATTCATGAGAGAGAAAAAGATGATTCAAAATAAAAGACTTATTTGCAAGGGATCTTGCATTAATCAACGTCATTGTCACTGGAATGGAGTCAGGAAAAACATAGAAAGTGTGTGGTAAATATGAACATATGTGTTCATGACAAATAGAATAGGAAGAGAAATTAAAGTTAGGTTACATTTTATTTTAAGGTGTCCTTGTTACAGTGTAATTATAATTAACTACATGTACTTACTATATGGTTAGCATTAGGATTAGGGTTTGGCTTAGGTTTACTTGCATGTTATTATGCATAATTAAGTGTTACATGTAACGTGTAACAAGGACACTGTAATATAAAGTGTTAGTTTGCATTAATCAGTTATTTTTATTCCATAGGTAACTAATTTGTCGGCTTGTACTTATTCATTTAAATATCATTGCAGATGCCATTATTACACTTAATATCATCAAAATACTTTCTCGTCTGATCTCTCAGAAATATTTCAATCACCACCACTGAACAACAACTAGAATGACAATACATCATATAAGGCTAACAAAACAAAGACAACAATACATAAACTATACAATAAAAAATAAAAAAAACTCTCGCATTGAGCTCTGAGTCGTAATTAAATCTGTACTAAACCCTACTGTGGTGTTTGACTGTGAGTCACACCCACGTCTCTGTACGGCTCACTTCTCTACAAACAGTGCTGCATTTCTTCTCATGTTACTGTTGCCTAAGGGTGAATTGCTTTTTCTTCCTCATTTGCAAGTCGTTTTGTATAAACATGTCTTTGTTACCTGATTACAACAGTTTTCCTTTTTTCTTTTTTTAATTAAACTACATGCATAGTATGTGTTTTTGATAAACCTAAATTCATCTGGGGGGGGGAAGCTAAATCAATTTTAATCACCATTAAATGTTCTGGCCATGCCGTAATCTTATATATGTTATTATATATTTTGCACAAAAATAAAACGTTTTTTTGTAGTGTATTATTCCCTAATGCAATAAACAAACCACTGTTCAAATCTTTGAGATCAGTACATTTTTTTAAAAGAAATTAATACTTCTATTTCTTAAGGATGCATTCATTTGATCAAAGGTGACATTTATAGTATAATTATAAAATAAAAAGACTTCTACTTCAAATAAATTCTGTACTGTTCTTTTGAACTTTCTATTCATCAAAGACCAATAAAAAATCAAATGTATTACATTTTCCACAAAAATATGCAGCAGCACAACAACTGTTTTCAACATTGATAATAATCAGAAATGTTTCTTGAGCAGCAAATCAGCATATTAGAATGATTTCTGAAGATCATGTGACACTGAAGACTGGAGTAATGATGCTGAAAATTCAGCTTTGATCACAGAAATAAATTACATTTTAAAATATAATCACATAGAAAACAGTTATATTAAATTGTAAAAATATTTCACAAATTATTCCTGTTTTTTTAAAAATAAATAAATAAATACAGCCTTGATGAGCAAAAGAGACTTTAAAAAAAAAACATTCAAAAATAGTAATTATTCCAAACGTTTGAACTTCAGTTTATTGTATATATATATATATACTGATCACAACAGCTACTCCAAATTCATTCTTTCTTTCTTTTTTTTATCACTGCATGGGTCAGGATATTGTGTTTTGTAGTTTAAGGCATCCAAGACAGACAGAGCAAGCTGACATGCACATTACAGTTAAGTTATTTCAGTAATAGATCAGAAATTAAATCCAAAGAGTATAAGAGCCAAACCTGCAAACCTTCCGCATCTCTTTAATGCGTGTATTCTCTATCAGTGCTTTTGTGCTTCATCGTGGCAATTGTTTACATCTATTGTTGCAAAACGTCAACGCAAAGCTCTTTTTGCGAGATTGGCTGATAGCGATGTGTGCTCCACTGTGGTAAAGGTTGTCGTTTATGATGACAGATGTTTTCGTTTTGACAGTGTTAGTTAGCGCACAGCTGGAGAGAGGAGCTGTTTAAAGGTAAGTTAAGGAAAGACCTGCTTTCCTGAAGTTTACGCCCACTTTACCACAGACCAATATTCGATTCGTTGACGTTTTTGACAGTAGGGATAAATATAATCGTCTGTGTGTGCATTCAGATACACTCGTTCCCAAACACACTGACAGATTCAGAAGGATAGAAGTCGCACTCCAGTATGTCCGAAACAAAGAAACAGCCGAGCATAGACTCGTCCGGTTCGAACCCCTGGGAGAGTCTGGGCAGCCCGACGCTGCTGTGGTCTCCCACCTCCGGGCTTCCTCTGCAGGACGGGCTTTACACGGACACCAAGTTCCCGGAGCAGGACATGCTGATTCAGAAAGACTTGGTTTGGAAACGACCAAAGGTGAGCCGAAGTGACAGCCCAGCACACATCTCCCGAGAGCCATACGATAACAGATCTGTACCTGAACTGTTCTTTCCCAGGCAACAAATGTAGGCTATAAAAACGATGTGGGAACGTTGTTTTGAAATGTTTCAACATTGAAATGTCCAGTTTTCTGGCCATGATTATAACGTTATGCCAAGGTTACAAAAACGTTTCTTACAACTTTCTAGCACGTTTGTAGGCGAACGTTAGTGGAATGTTTATTTTTAAAGGGGTCATATGACGCGATTTCAAGTTTTCCTTTCTCTTTGGAGTGTTACAAGCTGATTGTGCATAGATAAGATCCCTGAAGTTGCAAAGACTAAAGTCTCAAAACCAAAGAGATATAAAACGGCTCGTTCTAACACGCCCCCTAGATGCTTTAAATCAGTGAGTATAAAATATAAAGTTTTTTTTTTTAAATGATGACCTATTATTCCTATTCCTAAATATCCATTGACCCTAAAGTGACCGTTTGTACTTTCTCCTCTCTTTTCCAGGAGATCTGTCCGTTTCCTCAGTTTATTGCAGATGGAGCCACACGTATGGACATCTGCCAGGGAATTCTGCGTGAGAATTTAATTCTGAACCATTTAAACAATAAGAATTCCCACTGAGAACAATACAGGGGCTGCAGACTTTTGCAGGTTCTCGTATAACACACTGTTTGTGCTTCATAAAAGCAGTACTGGCATCAAATGGCTTTCGTGTTTGCTGTAAAGCAGTGGTTCTCATCTGTGGATGATCACACAAATAATACAGTGCAACACTTCAGAGGTCAGAGGTAGTGAATCCAATCAAACTCAATAGAATTTTGGTGCACATTGATCTGTCACTTGGTAGAAGCTCATCAAATTAGACAAATGCAAAAATGGGCAGGTTGCATGATACCCTTATCCTCAAAATCATGAATAATACTAACCCAGAATCTGTTAAAAATGACCAAAAAAAGTCTCTTATGCTCACCAAAACTGGATATATTTGTTAAAAATACAGCAAAAATTTGTGAAAATTGTTATATTATATTTGTTTTCTATTTGAATGCATTTTAAAATGTAATTTATTCCAGTGATCATAGCTGAATTTTCAGCATCCTGACTCTTCGGTGTCTTCAGTATCGCGTGATCCTTCAGAAATCAGTCCAATATGCTGGTTTGCTTCTCAAAAAAGCATTTCTGATTGTTATCAATTTTGAAAACAGTTTTTGCTGCCTAACATTTTGTGGGAACTGTGATACAATAGCATACAAAAGTTTGGGGTAAGATTTAAAAAAAAGAAAGAAATACTTTTATTCAGCAAGGATGCATTAAATTGACCAAAAGCGACAGTAAAAAAAAAAAAAAATAGTAAAATAAAAAACAGCCCTTTTAAACTGATAATATTTCACAATATCACTGGTTTTACTGTATTTTTCATCAAATAAATGCAAAGAGACTTTAATGTTCAAAGCATTACAAATCATAATTATTCCAAACTTTCGACCATTTTTTGTTAATACGCAATGAAGATGTTTGATGAATATTTTTGTTTGGTTTTGTGTTGGGTCTCCATTTAATATTAAATGTTGAAAACCCTAAAATAAAACCAAATAACAACCAATGTAGCAGAATAAACTTATTTCACCACATAACATTGGAATCATCTTTTATAACCAAATTAGGCCTAAAACATGTTTTAACGGGTTTAATGTGCTTGAACTCTCTCTCTCTCTCTCTCAGATGACTGCTGGTTCTTGTCTGCGGTGGCGTCTCTTTCTCTCTACCCTTCTCTTCTGCATCGTGTCGTTCCCTCAGGCCAAGGTTTTCAGAAGGGATACGTCGGCCGCTTCAGTTTTCGGGTTAGTACCGTGTGTTACCGTTCAGAATGAAACGGTTGTGACGGTTTTAACGGTGTCTCTCTGTCTGTAGTTCTGGCAGTATGGTGAGTGGACTGAGGTGCAAATTGATGACCGCTTGCCGACACAAAACGGTCAGCTGATCTATCTGTACTCCTCAAACAAAAATGAATTCTGGAGCGCTCTACTGGAGAAAGCTTATGCCAAGTTAGTGGAATATTTCGATGCATAAAAATGACTGGATATCATATTTAAAGTAACATTCACACAAAAATTAAAATTTGCTGAATGTTTACTCACCCTCAGGCCATCCAAGATGTAGATGAGTTTGTTTCTTCATCAGATTTGGAGAAATATAGCATTCCATCACTTGTTCACCAACGAATCCTCTGCAGTGAATGGGTGCCGTCAGAATGAGAGTCCAAACAGCTGATAAAAACATCACAATAATCCACAAGTAAACCACACCAATCCAAACCACACTGTCACTAATATCTTGTGAAATGAAAAGCTGCATGTTTGTACAAAACAAATCCATCAAGGCATTTTTAACTGCAACCCATAGCTTCAGGCTGAAATATGAGTCCTCTATCCATAATAACGCTTCCTCCAGTGAAAAAGTTGTCTGGTCTGAGTTATAGGATAGAAATCTGCACAGATCAAGCACAAGCAGTTCAAAACAGTTCTAAACAAATAATTTGGTGGATTTTGATGTGAGAGACAATAGGGGATGCACTTTTTCGCAGGAGAAAGAGGAATTAAATATTAAAGACTTGTATTTTGGCCAGAAGCGAAGACTTAAAGTTATACGTTTTAAAGTTTCTTACAAACACGCAGCTTTTGGCTTCACAATGTTTTTATCAGCGGTTTGGACTCTCATTCTGGCGGCACCCATTCACTGCGGAGGATCCATTGGTGACTGATGTGATGCTATATTTCTACAAATCTGTTCTGCCTACATCTTGGGAGGTCTGAGGGTGAGCTCTGCATGCACATAAACTGCTTGTTGTTCAGATTATCCCCTCCATCTCATTCTCAGGCTGAAGGGTGGTTATACTGCTCTGAATATGGGTTACCCTCATGAGGCGATGACAGACATGACAGGTGGGGTTACAGAGGTTTTCACGGTGCCGTCTGACCCTCGAATACTGGGCTCTTTCCTGCACCCGCTGCTGCAGGAAGGAGCTCTGATCAACTGTGGTAACACAAGGGTACGCTCTCTTCACATGCCTTATTAAAAGGAATAGTTCGCCCAAAAATTGCAGTTCTCTCATCGTTTATTCTCCCCCATGTCATTCCAAACCTGCATGATGACTTCTGTGGAACACAAATAAAGATGTTTAGTAGAATGTCCATGCTGCTCGTTTTCGTACAGTGACAGTGAATAGACTGGGGCTGTAAGCTCTAAATTCTGTAGACATTTAAGCTCTAATAAAGTGTTATAGAAGTAGTATTTCAAGTCTTCTGAAGCAGTGTATGTGAAGTTTTTAATCATGTAAAATCCCCACACTGTTTGTCAAAATGTACACTACCATTCAAAAGTTTGGGTTCGGTGAAATTGTTGTGAGCGAGGGTCTCGCGTGTTCTTCCCTCTTTGTTTGTATTCTTCTAGGTAAAAGGATCTTTCTTGAGTTCCAGGAAAGTGTTTTCTTTCGACAGATGTTGTTTTGTGAAAGTAATCTATTGTCTTGTCTCTCTGTCTTTGTGAAGGGTGCCATCGAGAAGAGCAATGAGTTTGGGATTTTGTTCATGCATGCCTACTCTGTGACCGGCTTGGAGACGGTGAGAGGGGAAATTTAACCTTGGGTGTTTTTTTTTCTCTCTCTCTTTCATTATCTGTCTGTCAAAGCAGTTCTTGATTTGTGTTTCATTAGTGTCTTTAATGCTCAGTGTTCCACCAGAGGGCACCATCTGCTTAAATAACAACAAAATGGGACACTGCTAGTACTGTATTTCTGAGAAAGTTGTATGTAGAGGATTGCCAAGAGGAGTCCCAATTCACATACTTCAATCTGAAATAGTATGCAAGATAAGAAATAGTTCGGACTGAGTTTGCTTTATGTGTGTTTCAGATCAAGACTACGATCGGTCCGGTTCAGCTGGTGCGGATCAGGAACCCGTGGGGTAATACTGAGTGGGAGGGGCCTTGGAGTGACAAAAAAGGGTACAAAACACGTTATATAAATATGAAAGTGAATATATATATATATATATATATAAAACAAAAGAAGTCTGTGATATTTCTCTGTTTAGATAGCCAAGAAAATGTTTAGCCAGGCACGTGTGTGAGTGTGTTTGTTGTTTAATGATGTGTTTTAGGATCGAGTGGAATATGGTGAGCGCTGAAGAGCAGCAGCGTGTGCAGAGAATCCAGCGTGATGACGGGGAGTTCTGGTGAGCCGGTGTTCTCTCTATTCTGATTGGCTGATTCATATTCAGGCTCTTCTCTGATTGGTTTAGATGGCCGATGCATCTTCATCGTCTTCTCTCTCTGCCCATCAGGATGTCTCTGGCAGATTTCTGCCAGAACTTTGACATGATAGAGGTTTGTCACCTGAGCGAAGACACGCTGAGTGAGAGCGGAGTCAAAAAGCCCTGGAAATGCACTTTGCATCACGGATGCTGGATTCCTCAGCAAGGTACGTGAGCATCACTGTTCACACAAATATCATACGACTTGTCACTGTATTATACTCACATGTGTGTGTTTGTAGGGTCTCCTCAGTACAGTCTGACCCTGCTGGAGGAGGACGACGACCCCAGTGACCCTGAACTAACGTGCTCATTCCTGCTGGCGCTCATGCAGAAACACACTCGTAAGAGAGGAGTGCTGTCCGACATCGCGCTGCAAATATACAAGGTTTCACACGTCTGTTTTCTGAGTGTGTATTATTGGATATGCAAGCTGCAATCTGATTGGTTGGCTTTATCAGTTTCGCTGGGAAACGGATGTTTGCAGGTTCCCAGACGACTACAATGAACACTTCAAAGCAATGTTGTCTTAGTATTGTTGAGATTCTATTTTAATATTACATTTAGTGTTTTTGTCATTTTTATTTTTTATTTCAGTTATTTTAGCACATCAAGTTAAACTAAATGAAAATGAGAAATGTGGCCTTTTCTTCTTCTTCTTTTTTTTTTTTTTTTAAGTAAAGGGTTTTTTTAAGCCAACAAAAGTAAGGCACTCTAACAAAGAGCAATGGAGTTCCAGAGAAAAGGGGGGGCATTGATGATTGTACTGCTTGAAGGAAGCAGTATAGAAAATAAAAAGTATAGAAAATAATCATGCATTAGATAAAACGAAAAGAAAAGGAAAAATGAAATAAAAAGAACAATTTCTGAGCTCATGATGTGAAGATTTGAGCATGTTAGTGTCTCTTGACTGTGTGTCTCTCTCTGATGTGTGTGTGTGTGTGTGTGTGCGTGTGTGATCAGGCCCGATCCGAGCGTGATTTCCTCTCCTCTCTGGACTTGTCTCAGTCGAGCCCGGTGCTCAGCACTGCTAAAGACCAGCGGCGGGAGCTGGTGCTTCGCGGTCGCCTGGCACCCGGTCATTACATCATCATTCCCTGCGCAGATGCTTCAGAGGATGAACTAGTCACTGCATTATGTAACATATTATATATTATTTATTATATATTATGTATTTTACTGGTTTGAAGGAAGAACTATAGTATATATTATATAATATTATATAAATAAAAGATATGAATATATGAATAAAATATTATTTATAAAATAAGTTTACTATATTTTATTTCAGTTAACAGAGACCAATAAGGAGGAAGAATTCCTTCTGAGAGTCCTGACCGAGAAAGCAAACAAAACCATGTAAGTGATGCTCACCAACATGCAAGAAAAACATCTCGTTTGACAGCAATGGAATGAAATATAGAGCAAACCTTGGGTGTTTATTCTGAGAAACAGACCCAGTAATCTAATACACATAACTAATATTTTCTCAGTATTTTCTAATATTTTCTTCTGCAGTGTTATTTTAGTATTACTTAAATATTACTCAAATATTTTAATATTAAAAATAACATGGAATAATTTTAATTAATATTGTTTTTTTATTTTAATGTAATTAATATTAAAATTATTATTATTCAAAATTAGTATTTTGAATTAGCTTTTATTTTTGTATTTCCAATTTTCATTTTATTTTACGTTTTAATCATTTTGTTATGTGCTTTATTATTTCTTAAATATATATATATATATATTTTTTTTTCAGTTTTAGTAATTTAGTAACATATTATATTTTAGTTAGTTGCCAATGCAGCATTTCTAATATCTGTATAAGTTTTGTAAAGCTTTTTAAGTTTTTTGTTTCTTTTAAGTATTTAAAATTGATTTTATGTCAACTTCATTTCCATTAACAAAAGTGATTTTTAATAGTTTTAGTTAGCAATAACAACACTGCTGAGCTACTATTCACATTAATGCTACACCTCTGTGCTCTTTCTATATGACAAGTACTTTGTGTCTATTTTTACTTCCCATAATGAGTTCTAGGAGAAAATAAAGCAATAAGCCCCATAAGAAGCCGTGGTTTACAGTGAATTTATAACAGCTAAGGGGCGTTGCGACGCGAAGCGGAGTGCCTAAAACCCCCTTAGCTGTTATAAATTCATTGTAAACCACGGCTTCACGGGCTTATAGCTTTTATAAAATGGTTATTCCATATACATAGTAAGGTTTCACAAAATACAGAGCAAATAATGTGTAATTATATTAATAAAAACAGTATTCGTAGTTCCTCTGAATCAGTTGTGGTTGCAACAAAGTGGTTGCCGAGCAACACACAAACGTAAACAAAGGGGTATGTTTGTAGAGAACGTGGCTCAGCCAATCAGAATCAAGGACCAGAACTATCCGTTTTATAAAATGAAACAAAACTGAGAACTTCAAAAAAATTGTCTTTATTTTTGGAGGTCAAATCTCAGCGAACACGGAATGTTCTGGCAAGGTTCATTCAAAGTTATGAGCAAACGTTCTTCCATTACCATTAATAGAACATTAAAGTTCATTCGTCTTTAATAATGTTTGCACAAAACATTTGTTACTACTTGTTTCAGAGAACATTCAGAGGTAACGTTCTCGTCATTTTTAAAAACATAAAATGGAATGTTTCCTCAGTGTTTAAAAACCTGGACTGTTTGAACGTTCAGTGAAGATTCAGAAATTATGTATTCATAACTTGATGGGAACATTGCTTTTTCTTTATTTTTCTTTGTTTTAACATAATAAACTGCTACATATGTCAATATATATGTGTGTTTGTGTGTTTGCAGAGCTGTTGGGACACCAGGAGTAGATAGAAACTCGATTACACCGGTAAAATGGAGACGTTGATCTAGTTTCACTGCTTTGATCATTTGTTAGCACTGAGTCAGTTTAATCGCTGGGTTTTAATTGTTTCTGCCTGTCTGTTTGTGTGTGTAGCCAATGTCTCCACGTCTCGCAGGTCTGCCGTCTGGAAATGAAGCCAGAGAGCTCTTTGTGAAACACTGTGTCAAGGTAAAAACACACATTACTTGCACGTTGAGCTGCACAATACAGTACTTTTGAGTTTGTTTGTGCATGTATTTTTAGAGCTAATATGTAGCTCTAATGTCATATGCGTGTGACTGTTAACAGTTTTGTATGTGTTGTCTATAGGGGCCTTATTGTACCCCTTTGGATCTGTATAATCTGCTGACAGAAGCCATTGCCAAAGGAGGTGAGAACATGTTTATTCACAAGCTGTTTTTCAACTGTTCACTTCTTTTTTTTTTTCTACATTTGCATTTTAATGGTAAACGCGGTTTGCAGGAGAAGTCGTGTTCACTGTGCCGTGTTAATGCAATTCTTTTCATTAGTTCTGCTAGCAGAGTTGAAAACCATGCAGGAAGTGAAGTGGAAACCAGTGAGGAAGTGAGTTGGATGATATTGTTTCTGTTTCCTGTTTTCTGGTCGGTCAGTCTTTGCAGGTAGCGAGAAGCAGCTGAGTTTGGAGCACTGCAAGAGCTTCGTGGTGCTCATGGATGTATCCTGCATAGCTAGTGCACTTCTGATATACACTGTCCTCACAAACGCACTGGTTAGTGTGCATGGACACGGAATAGAACTAGATAAACCGCTAAACATTGAATTTAAATGACTAAATTTTTAAGACTGCATGGCTATGCTTTAATACTTTCACTGCTGTATGCAGTATGAATTCTTAGCACAGAATGCAGATTTTCTGTTTGCAGATGGCATAAATTGTGCGATATAAAACTAGTGTGGTAAACTCCATCCTGCATTTCTAGTGTGACGAATCTTCTAGCATTAATATCAATTTTGATTCATTTTGATTTGATTGAAATCTGCTCATTAATGCTGCATTTATTTGATCAGAAATACAGTAAAATTGTGAAATATTATTACAATTTAAAATAACTATTTTAAATTGTAATATATTTTAAAATGTAATTTATTTCTGTGATGCAAAGCTGAATTTTCAGCATCATTACTCCAGTCTTCAGTGTCACATGATCCTTCAGAAATCATTCTAAGATGCTGATTTGCTGCTCAAGAAACATTCCTATTATTATCAATGTTGAAAACAGTTGTGCTGCTTCGTATTTTTTGAGGAAACCATCATATATTTTGTTTTTCAGGATTTTTGATGAATAGAAAGTTGAAAATAACAGAATTTGTAATTATAAATGTCTTTGCTGTCACTTTTGATCAATTTAATGCATCCTTGCTGAAAAAAAAAAAGTGTCCACAAAAATATGCAGCAGCATAACTGTTTTCAACATTGATAATAATCAGCATATTAGAAAGATTTCTGAAGGATCATGTGACACTGAAGACTGGCGTAATGATGCTGAAAATTCAGCTTTGATCACAGGAATAAATTACATTTTACAATATATTACAATTGAAAACAGTTATTTTAAATTGTAATAATATTGCGCAATTTTACTATTTTTATTTTGATCAAATAAATGCAGCCTTGGTGAGCAGAAGAGACTTCTGTCAAAAACATGAAAAATTCCAAGATTTTGACCGGTAGTGTAACATGCAACAGTTTGTTTCACATTCTATTTCTAAGAATAGTATGGCATGTGTTATGCGGTATATATGCTAGTATTTCATTCTCATCATAGCGGATGTGTTATCTCAGTAACTGCAGGTGGATGTGGGTGGGTGTGGTATTTTATGGTGCGTTTCACAAGAATGTTTTGGGTGGAGATTGGAATGTCTCCTTAACACCTCCAATCAGAGCCAAGGAATGGGACGACTCGACTTGATAGAGTTCCAGGCATTGTGGGCAAAACTCCGGAAGTGGACGGTGAGGACATTTGGCTGTTTGCAGTATTTTAATGCACGTAGGGTGTGTTTGGTTACGGTCAGGATGAGACTGTAGAAGGTTTTCATGTCACATGACTGATTCCATCATATGGTGCATTCAAGTTAAGTTCACAAAGATCATTTATGAGATGAACGCAACCACAAAGTCATGATTATGAGTGGGAAACGGTTAAAATTTTTCTTTAAGCCCAAAGTTTCCGAGTTGTGTGCATGTCAGTAAATTTGTTGAAATGAATGAAATTATTATTTCTTTCATTTACAATAAATATGAAAAACATATCAAATATTCAAATAAAAATACAACAAATATTCAAATTTATATATATATATATATATAATATTTAATTTTTCATTTATTATTATTTTATAGTAAATAACATGTAACTATTGCTTCAAGGCATGGATTAATATTCATGACTACATCTTAGATCAAATAAAGATTGGATTCTGTGATTATTCACCCGTCTGTCTGTGTTTTTACAGGGTATCTTTATGATATTTGACAAAAACAAGAACCAGTCTCTGGATTATCTAGAAATCCCACCCGCTCTGACAGCAGCAGGTGAAACCCATGACACACACTTACTCACACACACACACACACACACACACACAAATGCAAGTATGAGCATGAACACACACCCTGTACATGCAAATGCATTCATTGACGCAACACTTATTGAGAATGAAAACACACACACACACACACTGTGAAACGCTCTCCCACACACACACACACCCAGCTGTCAGGAGAGAAACCTGCTCATTCATCTGCTGTCGTGAGTCTGGAATGCTGATGATCGGGTTGATCTGAGCTGGTCTGCTCTGGTCTAGGCATACGGGTGGATGAATTCATACTGCAGCTGATAGGCCTGCGCTACACGGAGCCAGAGATGACCATCAGCTTCCCGGGATTCCTCTTCCTGCTCACCAAACTGGACTGCATGATACGTAAGAGAACACACAAATCAAAGTCAAATCAAAGTACTTTTTTTTTTGTTACCTGGAACACAAAAGGAGAATTTTTTTGAGTCTTTTTCTGGTCTTTAAATGAAAAAATTAGCAGGATATTCCTTAAAAATTAAAAAAAGAAGGTCATATGGGTTTGGAGCATCATGAGGGTGAACTGCAGGATTATTAGAGTTCATTTAAACTAAAACCATAAAACAGCTTTTGTTAAAATAGAAAAAAAAAACTTAAACTCATTTGATTTCATCTAGTTGCCAAGGCAACCATTCAAATTTTAATTCAGTTTACAATAATAAAAATAAAGGTAATAAAAGTTTGAATTAAAATAATGAAAACTATATAGATGTTTTTTTTTTATGTAATAAAAATGACAAACAAACAACAAAATGTCTAAAACGTTAACTACAATTAAAATGAAAACATAAATATAAAAATAAAAAACTGTACACTTTAAATGTATTAATACATTAATACATTTTAGTAATAATAATAATACTCATTTATATCTGTCTCTCTATCCATCCATCCATCCATCCATCTACATGTTTTTGTTTTCAGGCAAGTTTCAGGCATTTGATGCGACAGGGATGGGAGTGATTTCAGTGAACTGCAGACAGGTAAAAACATGAAACACATGAGAGTGTTGAGTCCTCTTTACACACACACACACACACACTCACACACACACACACACACTCACACTCACACACACACACACACACACACACACACACACACACACTCACACTCACACACACACTCACACTCACACACACACACACACACACACACACACACACACACACACACACTCACACACACACGCACACACAGGCTGATCCAGCCCTCTTTAGTTCTTCTTAACCATCTTTATGCAACATGACTGACAGATATTACGTGAATCAGAGCTGAATTTATTATCTTGTGAAAAATGTGATTCATTAACTGTGCGCCAAATGAATATTTATGTGTTTTTCTCTTGATTTGTAGTTTCTGCACATGACCATGTACAACTGATTTCAGACCAGCTGCAGGGAAACAGCTCTACAGCTGCTTGAACTATTCTATATAAACAGATCGTTCCTGGAGTGGAAGCTGATTGGTCAATACAGTTGTTACATTTAAGCTACAATACTATAAATTCTATATTAATAGATATGATGCAAAACACAGCTACTTTATATATATCACTGCACAGCACCTATAGAGATCAACTATTAACCTTAATATTTTTTTACTGCTTTTACTGCTTCTAGTGGACAGATGTCAACTAATGAATTTGCTTAATAAAAATAAGATTTTTAAAGAAAATTGGTGTAATATCTTTATTAGTATCCATAATAAAATAAAATTCGATAATTTTTTATTTGATATCATTTTATTTTGATATTTTTTTTATATATATATTTTAATAATTATTTTACAACAATTTAGCATTATAAATTATAAATAAATATTATAAAATAATTTAATAATTACACAATTATAATAATATAAATAATATATATTCTGACAATAATAAATATAACATATTCTGACAAAAAATAATATCTTTAATGTTTATGTTAATTTACACTATTTTTAAGTTGGTATAATATTTTTATTAGTAACCATAATAACATAAAAATTTAATAATTAGATCTTTTCATAGAATTTTATTTTGATATTTATATTCAAAAATACAATTTTATCATGTAATAATTTTACAAAAATTTTGTATTATGAATTATACTTATATATTATAAGAATAATGATACAAATAATAAATTATAAATATTCTGACAAAAGTAATACAATTACAACAATGACAATTAAATTTATAATTTTATATCATTCTATTTTGATATTTTTATTCTATAAAAATATAAATTTATTATAATTATTTGATAACAATTTACTATTATAAAATGATAAATAAATAATAATAGAAATAATAAATAATATATATTCTGACATTTTTCAGATCTTGTTGTTAAACTAAACCAAATGTTCCTCATTTAGGTCATATGAATACTTGTAAGTTTTGAATGTGTCGTTCCTCTTGTCTCTGGAGGCATGTCCTGTTAATATTTATTACAGTGGGAACTTTTGAGAGCATGCATGAGCGGGAAATATGCCAAATAATTAATTATGTGTAGACCGGATCAGTTCAGGATTCTTACATAAGCTTCGGGTCTGTAAAATGTCCCAGCTATGATTTTTAACATGCGGCTGCTGCTGCTGCTTTGAATTGCAAAACATTAAATGATTCAAATAAGCGACTGATTTGTATTTGAATCTTATGGATAATCGAGGAGCTCAGTATCAATCGTTATGTTTGAGGTGATGCTCTGGATTTGGGTGTCATGAACAATGTAAACAGCAGCGTATGGTTGATGCGCTCATCTGTCCGATGTTGACCCACTTCACGTCCCCTTTGACAGACGCCATGAAATATTAATGTTCGGATTAAGCAGCTTAAGAACCAGACTAGTTTAACCACAATAAATTCAAGTCATAAACATTCATGTGGTTTTCACCAAATAATGTGTGTTATCAAAACTGTATAGAGTTGAATTCAGATGAAGGTTAGAAAAACAAGGCAACCGGCTGGTGAGTGTTTCGTGGAAAGTGTATGAATAATACATCAACTCTTTCTGTTTGTGTGAGTGTGTAAAGTTAGAAGATACGGGTTACACTGATACACTGTACAAGACAAAGACAAGTGACGTTAAATAGAAATTTTCTATTCACTTTGCTTTGGATTACATTTCCATATAGTAATAAATAGAATTATACTTTATACATGTAGTATAGATAGAAAGAAAGAAAGAAAAGAAAGAAAGAAAGAAAAAAGAAGGAATTTGGTAATATATTGAACAGCTAATGAAATTTGGTATAAATATATATGTTTTAAGTATTATTTTAATAATAGAAAGAGATAGATCAATAGAAACCATCATGGTAATATATAAAATATATTTAATTAAATGATAATCTAACATATTTAGTACATATGTAAAATATGTAACTAAATAAATTAACAGTAACTAAGAATAATAATCATTTTATATTAATAATTTGAAACCACTAGTGAAAAAACAAGTGAAATTTGGTAGAATATAAAATATATTTATATATTGCTAATATTATATAAATAGACAGACAGACAGACAGACAGATAGACAGATAGATAGACAGACAGACAGACAGACAGACAGACAGACAGACTTTGGTAATATATAAAATATATTTAAATATTAATCTAATATATTTCATATATAATATAGGCCTGTGTAAAATATGTAACAAAATAAATAGAAAAATCTAGTGAAATTTGGTAGTATATAAAATATATTTATATAATATAAGCATTATTTTAATAATACGTACATACATTCATATACAAATGTAAGTATTAAGTATATATATATATAGCTAGTGAAAATTTATTATTTTAACTTATATTAAACGTATATATGTAAATAAATAAATATATCAAATGATATAGATCAATGTAATTTATTTATACATATACTGTTCAACTGTTTTTAAATCCGTTTTTTAAATCCCTTCCTAAAAAACTTTCAGATTTGTAATAGATATTAATCATCCGATTTTCAGACCTCTGTGAATATTTTTATATAACGGCCACAAATTCACATTTTCAATCTAAAACTACTTCCCCCTGACGAGATTAGCCTATGGCAGAAGCCCACCCCGCTCGTGGGTAGAGCTAAAATCGGATATCTTCTGAATAAGTAAACCGTTCTTTTAAATATTCATGAGTTTTCCGGGCCTACTACCTCCTCCTCAGTGGGAGCGGCGCGTCTCCTACTCCATTTTTGTCAGACGGGTGGAGGAACGCACTCTCGGCGGGGAGACTGTCAGTCCACGCAGCGGACACTTCATACCGAGCAACAAAGGCTTCGAGAGCGATTACTGCAGGCTGTTTTCTTTTGGTTTTCGTTTAGGAAGAGTCTTGACGGTGCTCTCGGGTGTCTGACATGGTAGATTATCACGCGACGAATAATCAATCCTTATATTCAGCGGGCGGACCGCAGATCTACATGGAGCAGGAGAACGACTGGGACCGGGACCTACTGCTGGACCCGGCCTGGGAGAAACAGCAGCGGAAGGTAAGAGCTTCTGAAAGCCCGGGGGCCGCCGCAGGGGCCTGTGCGATGAGATATTTGTGCGTTTAACACGTTTTAGTCGTCTTGTTTTCTCTAGTCTGCTTTTATACGCGCCTAGAACAGCAGCGCGCTTCGAATGTTATAATGTTTCGCGGGTTTCGAATGTTACAGTGTTACAATAATGTTTCAGTCGCGTGTGTGTGTGTGTGTGTGTGTGTGTGTGTGTGTAAGTGAGTGATACATTGTAACGGCTGAACCTGTTTTACTAGAGCGAGTTTCATTCGCTGCTGCTGCCTTTTTCCTTTTTCCCCTCTGTTCTTTCTCAAAGCGACATTTAGACTACTATTTACAGACAGACATCCGGATTTAAAATGGCAGTAACTAGATATCACAGCACGAGAGCTTAAAATAGCTGCAGAAATGCTGTTTCTGGAGTTTATCTGCTGTTCTGGAGAGGAAAGATAAGCTAAAAAGAATAAAAAATGAACGTATGAGGTGCGTTCCCGTTTTGAATACACTCTGTGGTGTTTCTGTGGAAAACCTGATTGATAGTGAGTGTTCTAGTGTTTTATGCACATGAATTATGGCAATGAATATTGAGGAATGCTCGGGGGTTGAATGACGTTTTTGGGTGTGTGTCTTTTGGGGCAAAGACAGGCTTGACTGATTTGCATTTTTGGTGTGACAGACGGCTATTGGAGAGAGTTTGAGAAAGGAAGGTCAAAGTTTGATTGGAAAAATAATTAATTATTAACCCACCTGAGCCCCTTCAGCAAACAAGCACTCACACACTAATAAATCACACATATATATAGACACAGCCACCGGCCTTCAGACCCATAAATGGGGCATTTGAGAAAGTCAAGCGGAGGAGAATACTTTCTGAACTCTTGAGCTCTCCTCTCCCTTTTTATACTCGTTGGTTACACTTGTGAAGCCAAATATCTAGATATCTAGAAAGCAGAGTGGCCTTCTAATATGAATTTCAGCAGCTAAAATGAATTTAAACCACATTGCAGATGTCTGTTACTATGTCATGCATAAAATATCTTTACATCCTGACAGATATCAGTGAGTAGTTGTCACATCTGTGTCTTTGACTGTACTAGACTGTAAACAGCACAAAAAAGTCAGGAGAGTGGCCCACACTTTTTTAGCCAATCAGAAATTGGAATGCGGGGTTTTAGAGAGCAGGTTTGTGGTTGGGGTTGATCTAATTAGTTATGTTTGGTATTGCATTCTACCATTCTAAGTCCTGCAAGTATGTAGTATGTATACTATGCACAGTATGCATAGTTAACTTACTACTATTGACAGAATGTGCATGGAAGACTCTATCCAACAGTGCAATTTGCATCACATTTTGACTTGACTTTCCATTTCTAGCCTCTAAAGTTTTTAAATCTTTCATTTCAAAAGGTATTGTTTAGTTTAAGGCTTAATTATTATAAGTGGCATAATTATAGTATGGGCCAGGACCAATGTAACTATCACAACCATGTCAAGTGCAAAATGGGTTAATGCATGTTTTTTGTATGGCACAAATACCAGTGAATTGACTACTGCAAACCTTAGTAATCTTGTTGCGTGATTTGTTTAAATACTCTTCCCATAAATGTTGTGTCCAAAAGTGGAACTCCAAAAAATGCATATGCAACAAGGCCAGCTGCAAAATCTATTTTCACTGTCAGTAAACCCTGACAGTAGTTTTTTGATGCCGAAAGAGGGTTTGCGATGGCACAAGCTGTTCATAATTCTGGCCCAATGAATGTAATTTCTGTACTACTAGTGGCACTAAACAGAATTGCAGAAATAATTACTGTTATCAAACAGGTTTCACACTCTGATTATCTGTTATTGACCCTTTTCTCATTTCCGTGGTTCTCAGAACCCGAAGTCATCATAGTTGGTAAATCTATAGTGGTGAACAGAAATTAATTAATTCTATTAAATGATGATATTTTTTAAATCTTTACAAAAGAGGAAGAAATATTGAGAGATTGAGACATTGGTCAGAAGAGTCAAAATTGCTGCCATTCCCTCAGCCATTTATTAGACTTAACTTGTTTTCTGTAATTGAATCCCAAAGTAATATTACACAAGTGTAGTGTTATAAATGTACATAAAATTGTTTCTAAAAGCTAAAATAAATGTAAATAACTGTTGAAACGTACTCATTAGGGTTGTCAAAAAAAA